TAAAGTTTTAAACATATTAAAAAATTTTACGCTCATTATTACTAGAGGTTTCGAAGTTGAAATCAAGGCATATTCACTGCCAAAAGTCAGTTAAAATTTTTCCATATTATTTGTTATTTCTTATCTTATTCAAATTCCAAATTTTCTCTCAAACTGTATACTTTTTTTTAGTATAGATAGTATTTATTTACCTCATGATATGCTGCAAAACCTAATTAATCACCAATTTCTAATTTTATGTACTTTTGTCTCCGATTGTACCTCCCAAACATCCTTAAAGAGTTATAATACCAAATAGTTTCTTATTAACCTACCGAAAGCTTTAATATCATTACAATCGATTACATTAGCAGTATTAGTAGATAGCAGAGCTAATTGTTTTTACCGAAAACAATAGTTAATTACACAAGATGAAATAGACGGGAATAGGAGACAAAATTAAACAAACAACATGGAAAATGCCACCTAACGAAGTAATTTTTATTATTAAAAGGAAAAAACAAATTTGTTAGCTTATTCGTAAAATATCACCTAGTTCGTAAAATAAAAATATAAATAAATATAAAACGTTAACAGAAAGCCTTCTGATTAGTTTTTATAAATAAAATACAATGCATACTATCAACATTAAATAGGCAATTAGAAAAATAACAGCAAAGAAGGGAAAAAATATTCTTTTTTGTTGTACCTATACTAATGTACTGTCATACAATTTATGTTTGTTGATTTTTTATTTGATGAAACGTGGAAATAATTCATGGGAGAATGGTTTTATTCCTAATTAAACTCATATCACCATTTTAAACATTATTTGCGAGTAGGTGAATGGTGTCAACACACATCTTTTCTTTTTATCGTAGACTAACTTAAAAATACATTGTTTACTTTGTTTTAGCGATGTAGGTTTTAAGGAAATGAGTGGATCATAATTGCACCTTTGGTGTTAAGTTAAAAATAATGACAGCTTAGAACTGTATAAATAATTATTATTGTTCTTATGTAATCAGTTCACAGCTAAAGAATGATTAGTTTGAGATTGTAGATATTGAAGCACATATTGACCTGCAATTCAATTTTTCAGTAACATTAAATGTACCTATCTGCAAATCTACATAAAATAGACGAATGCATTTATAAATTAGCAGATAAATTTATCGACTATATTTACTCCTTGTTGTTTTAAAAAATTATTCATTAATGTGGCAGTTTATATTTCAATTTTAATATTTATAAGGTCTACAAATCTCGAAAATTATAACTTTTAAGTGTTTTTATGCGTTTGGAAGAGTTATTGCTTATATATAAGATAAGAAATGCAATCTACATAAAGTATAATTATAACT